TATGGGGTGGGGATCCGGATAGCTCCACTGTTTCAATATGGCTATCATATTCACAAAGACATGAAACAAATTGCTCAGTAGAAATTGTTTTGACGAATCACAACCGTTTCATAAGGTGTCCTAAGAGTTTTACATCACAGCCATTGTTTCAATCTTTTTGTGACTTCAGATAATGACTTAAAATGATGTTTCCTAAACATGGAATGATAACAATATATCTATAGGACTACTAGACCAGTGATCAATCTACAAATGGCTACAGAGTCCTATATATATATATATATACTCATAGAATTTTGAGGGGGACTAGTCAAATTTATAGAAATACTTGACCCATTGGTTTTTAGCAATACAGTTAAAAAGGACAATGAAAGACCATCTGTTAACACAGGTGGAAAAGTCCGTGGCTAGCACCGGGAAAAAGATAATTTAACAATGTTTTTAACTTTTTAAATCAGAATAGTCTGGAGTCATCCCTTGGGTTGGAGCCAGACCCTAGAGTCAATATTAATATCACGACTATGTATATCTGCCAAGAATTTGTACAGTTATAAGGTTGGGATCTTGACCGTTTCACAAGTTTGACCCAGGAACCAAGTTTTCAAGGGTCTATATTGTCAGGAAATATATGAGAAAACTTGAGAAAGCACCAATACCCTTCAAACATTTTCCAATCTACAGATAGACATTGTGGACAGAATGAACTGGTTTATTATATTCACAAAGACATGAAACAAATTGCTCAGTAGAAATTGTTTTGACGAATCATCACTGTTTCATAAGGTGTCCTAAAGAGTTTTACATCACAGCCATTGTTTCAACCTTTTTGTGACTTCAGATAATGACAAAATAATGTTTCCTAAACATTGAATAAAAACAGCATCTCTATTAAACAGCATCTCTATTAAAGAAATATAAGACTATCTTTTTTTTAAATACTGGTCGGATATGAATATGCAGCTCTTCTTACTTTAATCTGTAACAAGACTAAACCCTCACACATTTTTTGAGGTTGTCTAAGCAGCTCAATATTGAAATATACTTAAGAGCTTTTCTAGATATTAAAATGCTATAGTATACAACTCCATATATAGATAAAATCTGTTGTACCAATTCCAGTGTTGTGACATAATATATCTTGCCGAGTTTAACCTTTTTCACCAGTTACATAGAAGTATCAAGTTCCCTCCATAATTTGCAGCTCTTCTTACTTCAATCAGTATAAGTTACAAGACTAAACCCCGAGCACCAAGTATTTTTACGCAAGTTAAAAATTTCCACCAGTTACAATTTCAATCATGAAGATGGGTCATGCACTGCTCAGTAGAGGTAACGCTTAGGGTTTGAGATCACGTGTGATCATAGGTGTCCTAAGTTCTCATCACAGCAGTGACTAGCCAGGGTAATTTAATATAGCTACAAACTAAATCCCTTGGGTCGGGGCCAGGCCATAGATTCAATTCTGATATTACGACTGTTCATCTCTTAAAGCCCAGCATTGGTATGGTTATCAGGTAGTTATGATCTAGGGACTAAGTCTCCAAGGGTGGGGCCACCCCCAGACCCAGGAGCTATCCAGAAAACATGCGTGCATTTGTTTCTATATACTCAGCAATTACATACAGTACATTGTTAGAGTCTTGATAATGTCTTAATTTAAAATTTCTTTTTTGCCCCCACCCTAAGCCCTTCAACTAGCATAATTCTGAATGCTCAACTACCGAAGAGTGCACCCAACTAAATATGGTCGATATCCATCACTTTGTTCTGGAAAAGTGTCTTTAAGGAATATAGCCAAATTACCCATTGGCCTCAACCCTTGGTCCCCTGTGGGTCATCCCCTCTATTTGTACCATTTTTAATCCCCACAACCTTTGGATGCTTTCTGTCAAGTTTTGTGAAATTTCATAGAGTGGTAAAAAAGAAGTTGTTTGAAGAAATTGTTGATGGACAGACAGATGACACAATATGGCTTAGACTCACCTTGGTCCTTTAGACCAGGTGAACTAATAATTCTCAATAGTTTGAATATTATTTCTATTATCAATAGCTGGGCCCAGCTCTTGCTGGACTCGAGATCTATATATAACAGGTTTGATATATTTTGTATTCTTTCTCACAATTTTCCGTTCCAACAACTCTATATTTATTAACAGGGCCCAACAATGCTTGATAATGCAACTAGGAACCATCAGCTAATTTTCCATACCAGTGCGACTCTTGTAAATAACCAAGACCAGAAGGATGGACTTCTTTCAACAGCGAGTATCTTGCGTAGGACTGTTTTAGTGATAGTTTGCTTCAAGTTTTCAACAGTCGCTGCCATATAATTTATATAAAGAACCATCAGTTCATCTCTATGATACAAACCTTGTAGTACTTAAGGACTGCTAGAGTGACCTTCTTTTTCTTGTGCTTGTTCTTCTTTGGGGTGGTGTAGTTCTTCTTCTTCCTTTTCTTGGCACCTCCCCTCAGCCTAAGCACCAAGTGGAGTGTCGACTCCTTTTGGATGTTGTAGTCGGACAAAGTCCTTCCATCCTCTAGCTGCTTTCCGGCAAAGATCAACCTCTGCTGGTCTGGTGGAATGCCTGTAATGCACAAACAAGAATGATCAAACTCTGCTGGTCTGGTGGAATGCCTTTAATTGGTGGAATTGCTTCATTGCCAGATCTGTAAAATTATCCAAAAACCCAAGTAACTTTGTTTGATGTCAACAGGTCCAGTACACTCTGCCGATTGAGCCATATAGCTGTAAAGACCTATAATAGCTCTATTGACCCATCTGAAATAGGTCTTTTGAGCTATTTTCAAGCGATTTTCTTTTTTAAGGAAAACAAAACAGTCGCTTTTAAAAGAAGATTGTATCATTAGGTTTATAACAAAAGACATTAAATATAAGTATTCTTTTTAAAAAATAACTGTATGCTTTTTGTAGTCACCATTACCAAAAACCTTATTGTTTTATTCGACTTTGCTTTAAGTGCATGAAAATTGAAATCAGAGAAAATATAGCTCAATACAGCTATAATTTATAGGTGTATATAGCTATATAGCTCAATCGGCAGAGTGTACTGGACCTGGTCAAGTTCAGATATATTGGCTTGAATTCATTTCATTCTAGAGCACATATACAGGACCATGACGTAACGGGCATGCACTTCACTTGCAATATGGCTAGACCTTCAATACTGCAAATGTTGAGATGTTAAGAAAGTGCCTGTATGCTAGCCCTATTCTAACCCAACATCATTGCCAGCAGAGACTCACCTGAGAACCACACACACACATCGGCCTTGGCAACAATGAGCAGGTGTCACATTTTCTGATGAAAGCCAATATAACATTTAATAATTTGATGCCTTTTATAAATGTGTACTTAAATTTGCCTGTCAGTATATTTTCATATCCATACTATCAAAAATCCTGATTTGATATTCTATTGGAAATACAGCCAAAATTCAGTGTCAGCCAGAATTAAAGGAGGAAAAGAACTAATTTTACAAAATGAAATATGAGAACACCATCAAACGTAAAATTAGAAATATCTGTACTAAGATCAATTGCTCAGTAGATGTTTTGTCGAATCATAACCTTTTCATAAGGTGTCCTAAGAGTATTACATCATTGCAATTGTCTTAACAGAAGCACACAACACTTTTTTTAACAAAGTATAAAGGACCTGGCCGATACAAAATTAGTCAAGGTCAAGAAAAGTACACAAGTCACTGGTTTTCTTTTATAAATTAAATTATTCGCCTTCTGAAAACATGTGCTACCTTCTTTGTCTTGAATCTTGGCCTTCACATTTTCAATAGAATCGCTGGGCTCAACCTGGAAACAAACCATAGTTAGGTTACAACACTTGATGGTAGATTGTCAGTTTACATTTGAAGCCTACTCACATTTCCTTGTATAAATATAAATTTATAACAGTTTTTAACTACAAATTAGATATGGTCCACAGTAGTGTTAATAGTCAACTAGTGTAATTAGTCAGTGTTTTAGAGGCTTAAATAATGAGAATTGTTGACCGTACTAACCTCAAGAGTGATGGTTTTGCCCGTGAGGGTCTTGACAAAGATCTGCATGGCTGCTCAGATCACCACTAAAAAATATGGAACAGTGTGTAAACATAAATATTTATACCGAATTCTGCATGTTTTCTTTGGAACCAATCTCAGTTCACAGAAAAAGAATAGTCCTGGATCAGAAAATACTAGCTGCTACCAACCGACTTGGATAGGGAGAATTTCGCTCATTTTGTAGAGCACAAGCTGGCTAAGACTAGAAGTGAGGGTATTGAATAAATACCTCTACCAGTAGGAGGCAGCTAGTACTTTACTAGAGTGACATAAATAACATTATATATTCAAATTTGCAATACAACACAACCCCTCCGATTCCAGTGATTACACCGTATTGTGTCATGACATAATGAAATCAAGAGTTTTAATATTAAAATCTTTCATTTCACCGACTCGCTTGTTTGGCTAATCGGACTATTGTTTGGCCAACACTTCAAATCCCTATATATTAATAATTTTATAATATTTTAAAGAATGTTTGTATGTCTTTTATCAATAAACAAAACGTAGCATAAGCTATGACGGTAGTAAACTCGAATAAATAGTAATACGTCTTCTACGGATATGAGGCATACCATTTACTATGGCGGACAGCACAGAAAAAGGAAGAAACGTGGGTTGAGCATGCCCGAGCATGGGGACCATAATCTTTAACCAGAGTAAACTTGAAGATGTAAAGAAAGCTACAAATTTGTTATCATCAATTTTTATGTATAAAAGTATCATTTAGCCATTTCATAGCAGCTGACATAAAAGACAAATACTAATGGAACTGTGCTACAGAATTAAAGGTTTGAGTATTTGAATCGAGATTATATATTTATTTCCGGAACATAATTTGTGACACATCGGACGTTTACATTGGCTTTTCATTGCCATCGGAGCCCTCGGGAATTTTCCTGATTTCCTAATACGCGAAATACACACCGGTCGAAGATGACAGCCAAAACCAAGTTTATGAGATTGGAATCGGAAATCGAGCGATATAGAAATGATTCATGCTGGATTAGAGCCAGCGAGTTAGCTCGTCAACTTTCAAGTAAATCTTCTGAGTTAGGTGAGCCCACATGGAAGAAACAAAAGCATGCAACAGGGATTGAAGTTGTATTATTAATATTATCATGTCTGTTGTACGGACACATTTTAAAGAACGTTAATTAATTAAGGCGTCAATCAAATTAAAATCTCCAATATGTTTTGTTCCAGGGGAGTGCCAGTAGTAATAGTAGTAGTGGTAACTCCCTCCTCTTGTAGGAGAACCAGCTCTTAAAGCTGTATGTTGATTAAGAAATACCTATCATTCCCCCACCCACTTGAAGTTGGGTAGTAGAGGCCAGGGTTATCATCCTCAGTCCCAAATACTTCATTTTAAAATTTAAATTAATATATACGCTATAGTCAACCACGGAATTAGATTGATATCTAAGTCCGTGAATCAACAAAACAATAATACCATGAAACATTGAATATATAATTAAGGGAATAATGTGTGGCCGGTTTTAATTGTACAGTGTACATAGGATTACGGTTGCCAACTAGCTTCGAACTAGAGGGAATTTCCCTTTAGCTCAGTGGTAGAGCGTGTCCGACTAGGAACCTGGAGATCATGTGTTCGATCCCAGGTGAAAGCACACTATTCTCTTTCCTGTTACACTTGTATGATGATCAATCTAGATATAATGTGGGATGAATTATTGAATGGGGATCTGAACTCGGTATATAATAAGTTTTTGCAAATTCTACAAGTAAGTATGGATAAACATGTCTCCTATAACAGAAGAGGCTGCTGGTCGGTCTTTTTTCTATTGGATATGATTTTGCTGACTGCAACGCCTGTCAAAAGTATCTCATCGTGTAAACCTTTAACACTGTTGGAGTAGGATAAACATGTACACATTTCAATCAGCACAGGATCTTCTTCCAATATTCTGCATACCACCTCTGGTGTATTGGCTCAGATCTAATCAAACAAAAATTAAAAAAAGCGGGATATCTTCCATTAAATGAGGAAACTAGACACAAAAATTAACAGAAAGCACCCGGCGTGGCAGCAATACATGGAAACGAGGTCTGAACTTAAATACAGGGAATACACAAAATTAAGATATCAAGTGAAGGGTATGCTGAGGAAAGCTAGGCACGATATGGAAAAAGATTGCTGGAAATATCAAAGATAACCCTAAGCGGTTCTGGAAATAAATCAACTCGAAGAGGAAAGTTAAGACAATTAGGCATTTCAGATTTAAAGGCTTAAATGGCGATGGATAAAAAATGCTGTAAATGACAAGGAATTAAGCGGACGTGTTGGCCAGTTTCTTTCGTAGTGTATCTGCGGAGGAACAACCAGGAGAAATGCCAACAATGGAAAGAAAATGTATTGAACAAGCATTTGAAGAAATACATTACATAGAAGAAAGTGTAGGTAAACTGTTGACAAAGTTTGGTGGCAGCACATCAGTTCACACGGTCCAGACCAGTATCCTAAGGTTACGAAAGAACTTCTTTCCATTATAAAATATAAGCAAGCCTCTAAGTATTATTTTCAACAGATCACTACATGATAGTATAGTACCAACGGCATGGAAGAAAGCTAACATAACAGCTATATTTAACAAGGGATCAAAATCAGATCAAGGGAATTATCGACCAGTAAGCCGTACCAGTATTGTGGAGAAATCTCTTGAAAGTACAAGACGCCATTGTCAAACATATGGAGAAAAAAATCTGTTTAGCAACAAACAATTTGGATTCATCGCCAACGTATAGGGTACTGAAAATTTTAATGGTGCTCGAAGATTTGACAGAAGTATTGTATCGAGGAGGCGAAATAGATATCATATTTACATGGACCATATGAAAGCTTTCGACAAGGTACCACATCCAAGATTAATTGGAAAGCTTAGCAGTTATGGTATAAGTAGCCAAGTTGTCAATTGGATAGGGAGTTTTCTAAGCCAATGGTAAATGGAAAATCATCGAAAGACTATCTGGTAGTCAGTGGAATCCCTCGGGGAAGTGTTTGAGTCCATAGCTGTTTGTAATTTATATAAATGACCTACCAGAATGTACTCTTTCAAGAACCTTTTTGTTTGACCATGACATACAACTTTACAGGGAGAAACAGAACGATTAAGATAGAGAAGCACTACAACATGATTTGGATAATCTGCAAGCCTGGTCTAAAACATGTCTTTTAAAATTTCACCCTCAAAAATGCAAACTACTTACAATAAAAGGAATAGTGACAAGAAATTATTTCATGACAGGAGCCAGAGAAGATCAAATCAAACTGGAGAAAATTTCATCAGAAAAGGATATAGGAGTGATGGTGGACGAAGATCTCGGCTTTTCATCTCATATATATTCAACAAATTGTCAACAAGGCAAAAAGTATACTTGGGCTTATCAGAAGATCCTTCATACATAGAATTTCAGATGAAATAACATGTAAACAGCTTTTCAAGGCAGTGAAGACACTTGTCAGGGGTCAGGCCACACTTGGAACATGCAGCAAGTGTGTTGAATCCACACAAAACAAAAGACATAGAATCAACCAGCAGCATAGAGCAACAAAACTGATACCTGGGCTAAAGGACCTACCACACAGTGACTGTCTTAAAAGATTAGGATTTCCATCCCTCACCTACCGTAGACTGAGAGGAGGTATACTCAGTGTGAACAAGATTATGAACAACTTTTACGATGAAAACGTAACGTCTGGAATTTTTAACTGTGAAACCTCATCAAGAACGAGAGGGCACACACAGAAATCGAAGAAAAATCACTGTAGACTGTATGTTAGAAAATATTTATTTGGTTTCAGAACTATCAATATTTGGAACGGTCTTCCCAAATATGCCATAAATTCAACAACTCCAAGAGACTTCGAAATCTTCAGTAACGTGGATGGGGTACATACATATATATACCTGTTGAATCTTAAGTATTTCAGTCAGTTTTCTGGCCATACAGTATAATGTTGTTTTCTACAATGTGACAAGACAAGATATTGTATTGCCCAAAGAGTAATAATAATAATAATAATTTGAGGTTCTTGTATACCGCTTTATCACAACCTAATTCGTAGGTCGTCTCAAAGTGGTTCACAAATTATTATCCGTGGTTATAGGGCCTTTGCAACCAGCCAATATCTTTCGCAACTCCCTGGGGAGCGAACAGCCGGTGCTGCCATTTCGGCGCTCACAGCCAGCACTCTACAGTTCTAGCACTGCCCAACCANCTGAACTATTATTTTTTGGAGGGCTGGAATGGACAGAACCAATGGTCGTTTGCTATATCACTGATCTAATGGACAAAGCAGAACTAGAACAGGTTTTTTAGCACCATCTTACATTATGGTAACGTCACATTATCATGCTGTCCTTAATGTCTTATGTCATTATCCAAGCAGAACCTTACTATTCACTTGAAATATTAGCAAGGTGAAAACCTTAAAGATATCTGGAAATGTTTGAATTTCTGAAGAGGAAACAACATAGCTACATATATAATACCTGTAAATATAGAAATATTTGAGTTCACATATGATTAGTGAACATAACATTCCTTTCACAAGTGTCTGATTATCCCTTGAATTAACACATATTTACTCTGAGAATTATATCAATTATACTGTATTTATCAATTATACTGTATTGATCAATTATACTGTATTTATCAATTATGCTGTATTTATTTCTTTTACATGAACAACAAAGTATTTTCATGTGAATTTTTTTTTTATTTTTTTTTATTTTCAGAATATTATGAACAGTTTACTCTGGCAGAAAGCCACTTAGAGGAGTACCTTAAAGAAAACCCTCCGATAGAGAAAAACAGCAGTAAGGCAAGAGCACATCTGGCAGATGCTGAAAAACAATTGACACTTGTAGGCAGGGCCAAAAACAAGGTTTGTTTCTCACAGAATGTTTGTATACAGTCCTTCCTCATTTGTTTGGCAAATAATAATAATAACAAAGTCCATTATCTATCTTTGTATGAAACTAGGCCTCACCCTCATAATTGATGTATTTAATTGTACTTATACGGGGATTGATATTTGGATTTATATGGACAGTTATATTTTTCTTGCATCTCAAACAGCGATCTATTCTTCACTCATTCAGCATAGATGCCAAATCGTTGTTATGCAGTTTTTTCATTTTGATCTTTTTAGTTGAGTCTGGATGCCAACTTATTGCTTGCCAAAATTAACTACTGCCAGGGACAATATGAGGCGGCCCTGGATTTATTTGACGAGCGTGTTAACCTTGATGGCCTCGCTACAAAGGAGTTTGCCACTACACGCCAGCTACAGATAGTTGCAGAGTCGTTTGCTATTAAAGGTGAGATAAAGAAAAAAGGTAAAAATCAGATGAATTCAGTTGATCTGGTGACTGTTCATCCAGAAAGCCATAATAATAATATAAAATAATAATTTGAGGTTCTTATATACCGCTTTTTATCACAACCTAGTTCGTAGAACGCCTTAAAGCGGTTCACAAATCATTTTCTGTGGTTATAGGGCCTTTTACAACCAGCACATATCTTTCTCATCTCTCTGGGGAGTGAACAGCCGGTGCTGCCATTTCGGCGCTCACAGCTAGCATTCTACAAATCTAGCACTGCCCAACCACATACAATTTTACAGCTTTTTACAGCTGAGTAGACTGGAACAAGCAGAGTAAAGTATCTTGCTCAAAGATACAACACAGTGCCATGACTTGAACCTGCAACCTTTCGGTCACGAGTCCAGCGTCCTACCACTAGACTACCATTTGTTATGATTGTTTATGTTCCCTGGTGATTCCTGGATAAGTGGGTCTACAGAATTACATCCTGTATCCCCATCCAACCATCTGTCAGTTTGTCGGGGCAATACGTTTTGACTATTCCCAGAGGTGTACAGTTAGAGTACTGATCCATAGACTAGAGGTCAAAGTTCAAGTCATTATGACATGAAACTGTATGTTTAACCATTAAACTGCATAAATGGAGGTATCTGGACTAGATAATGAGTCACACAGATAATGTATACCACTCTGAAGTTTGTAACACTACAGCCAAGCTCACAGCTGGGCTTCAAATATCATGTTTTCTTGTTATTCCCCACACAACAAAGTTAAGGGAGTGGGGGTATACTTAAATTATTGTTCACACTAGGTCTGTCACAATATATCGGAAAACAGGTATATCGCAAAACACAGGCATATAGTATCGTACCACAATACAGAGATGAAATATTGCTGTATCGCAATATTTTTCAAAAGCACATTTTTATGTATAGATCTGCTAGATGTTTTAACTTTGCAAATTACTACAAATTATTCCAACAGATATGCCAATAAGAATAAAGCAGGCTTTTGATAGTTCAAATTTTGTAATCGATGGTTGGTTTGACAAAAATCTATGTAATCCATATTATATATGATTAAGTTTGATAACATTCTGACAACTTATTATAAAATTGAGCACATCCTTCCTATGACAATATATCGGGATATGTATAGCAATATATTCATTCTGTATTGCAACACACTTGTATATCGTGATACACTCTTGGCGTATTGTGACACCCCTAGTTCACACTACTCCTACTGAAGTACTCCACCAATATTAATGAGACTTGGTACACAGAACCTTTACATAGAGAGGAGGTGAATAAAGTATATGGACTGGAGCTACATTCCTACTTATGTTTAATTTAATTCTGTAATTTTTTAATGAGGACTACTAGTCGCAACCCTCAAATTTAACAAACAAGTGAAGGTACAACATTTACATTATTAACATACAGTACAAAATACAGGAAATTATGCATAAACATGTACACTGGTCATTCTCACCACTTGACTTCATGACACACTCTCACACACACTCACACACAGACAAAGACACTAAAAACAATAAAAAGGAAGAGAGAGAGCGGAAGAGGGAGAGAGACACAGAGAGAGAGAGAGTGTATTTGAATCTATTACTTCCCTCGATATATTCAAAGACAGAATGAAAAACTTGGCTTTTATGGAGTTATGCCCTTTGTTTAAAAGCATTGTTAGCACTCCTCCTCTAAAGTACTGCTCCTCCTCCAAAAATACTGCTCCTCCTTCAAAAGTATTGTACTTATTTGAATAATATTTGGTACACATACAATGTAAGACTTACATTGAGAGGATGTGAAGAAGTATACAAATTGCAGTGACATCCCAAATTTATGAGTTTTACTTCTTAGTTTAAAAACATAGTTTGACTTACCTGATGTATTGCACCAATCTGAATGAAACTTTAATCGGTTCACATTAATCTTCAATTAAGGATATAAGTTGGTCGTTTGTTCTCCCTATTCAAGAGTTAGGCTTTGTTTAAAAATATAGATTGCACTTCTCCCAAGGGACAGTACCAATTTAAATGATACTTGGTGCACAGAGCCATTTCTTTAATGTGACATAAATAAGTATTAAATTAAAATTACCTCCCTCTATTTATGGAGTTATTTGAAACAAACATTCCAGACAGGTTTAATTTCTTCTCCAAACAAACATTAGTTTTGATAAAATAGACTTTTGAAAATGATATCCAAAAAATAGCGTCGCATGACATGTAAATCACAAAACTCTTGTTTTGGTAATTATGCTTACCTTTAAATTGACCATGTAATGATAATCAGCAGTCAATAAAGCTTATATACAGTTAAATTGTCATAAAAGTATCATCAAGTGAAAACTGCATACATAAAAAAAAACTTCTTTGCATTGCATGAGTTTCTTAGGCCATTTTCCCACAAGTGTCCCATTTTGGGTAAAGTTGTCAATACACCTTATCTTTCTATGCAGGTATGTGTATAGAAAAAGTGGGTCCAAGCTCCACCAGTAAGTTCCGTGTGGCAGAACAGGAGGAGAAGATCATCAGCTGTTATGAGAAGGCAGGTGACCTGGCTTTGTTGTACCTTCAGGAGAGGGACAGGACAGGCAGTTCTAGCAGCTCTGGTGTCAGTCCCTCCCCAACACCCTCAAATCCTCAGGAGGATAGCCTTGGCATGATCCTAGAGACCGCCCTACAACAGTCGCCCATCCTCTACATCAAACGAGGGTCAGTATATATACGTGCATGGAAATGTATCATTTTCAATCGTCCTGCCAGAACACTGTTACGAAAAAATGATTTCAGTTACAAGTTGTAACTTTTCAGTCTAAAGCGTAAAGGTTTGTACATCTATTGGTGCAGAGTATATCTTCCCAAGAAAAGGAGGTCCCTTCAATTTTTTCCGTTTATTTTTATATTTAAGCAGGAAAAGTATGACAGGTGATCCGGATATAACAATAATAAAAAAGATATTTCACTTATTTCTTGAAGAAATCTGTCGGTTTATGAAAAACATATACATATATTATATATGTTATATAAAACTCTTTTCACAGAAACCTGGAAAAAGGTGTCAACAGGTTCCGAGATCTTTTGAGAGTGGTGGAATCCCGCTTCACACAGGGACTAAGACAGGTGATGTTTTTGTTTATACAGTTCAAACATTTTATTGCTCTTGATGCTAGACATGCAATGATAGAGTAACAGTGTTCTTGTGAAGTGGTAACAAACATAAAAGAAAGACTTCTCTGTGAGTATTTCAAGCTTCTTTTTATAAAGCAACAGTGACAACAATAGTGTAAACAAAGTCATTCATGAATTTTCATTAAATTCAGGGGTGTAAAATTCCACTAGCTGGACGCCCGATTTTCAGCTTGGGCTAGTGAAATTTAAGAATGTCATAGCAAACAAAAACACTTCTGTTCTATTCTATCATCTTTAGGGTAACCAATTAAAATTTTAAACGTGTTAATTCCAGGCTAGTGGATCATTAGTGGCTAGAGGATCATTAGTGGATCATTATTGGCTAGTGGATCATTAGTGTTTACTGGCCCCGAGCTAGTATCCTCAAACAGTTTTTCACACCCCTGTATTTGATCTCCTTTTTAAGGCAACATGAAACCTTATAGGGAGTTGACAGCCACTGTAATAATTACATAATGCATTGTATCTTGTTCAACAGACCCTGGCCCGACAGCTGGCGGAGGTTTTACTGCGGGGAATGTGTGAAAACTCGTACATCCCCATAGGAGCCGTGTTGAAGCCCACAACTCTTTCTACAAACTCACTCCAGCCCAGGAAGTACTCCGGAGACAGGTAAGTAACACAAGGGAACGCTGATGGGAATCGGTCCCATTTTCAGCTAGCCATCATAATCAGTATTATAGTCCTTCTTAGTATTATTAAGTTGTGTTTTTTTTTCTTGTTGAATATAAAGAAAATTTAAAAGTATTTGGGTGCTTTGAGGGGGTATTCATATTTTCTGTGCATTAAACTTTTGAATACAAATGGTCATTTAATGCCAATAAAAAGCCTTGATAGTCTGAGTTGTAAACTACCTCACAACAATCTACTTTAGATGGAACATTAAACTAGCTGTATGGACAAATTGAAGTGTTGTTCAGGTAACCAGTTGTCATGTTTATTTTTACAGACAGTTTGTGCCGAAGGATGAGAATGAAGAGGCATTACTATTGCTGCTCATAGCTGAAGCCATTGTAGGTCACAAACATCTTTCTCATATCTTAACGTCCATACAACATAAGTAGGATGTAGCTTTAGGTGGGAGCCTTTTTCATTAGTCTATCCTCTTGTCTGTGTGACATCTTTGGTAAGACATTGAATTGAGCTCCTTTTCTTTGGTAAGACATTGAGTTGAGCTTTATTTCTTTGGTTTGACATTGAATTGAGCTTTATTTCTTTGGTAAGACATTGAATTGAGCTCCTTTTCTTTGGTAAGACATTGAACATGTGATGATATTTATCATTTACAGACCTTTATAGAGGTGAATATGCGGTTATATGGGCCTGAGAAAGTGATCTTGATCAAAATGAGGTTAATATCAATTTTCAATGTAAACATTTTCACCAAAAGAAAAGTCATTAATTGTTTTACTTTGCTGTATATGATGTTATTTATCATTTACAAAGACAGAGTGTAACTGAATTGTCAATAGAACAGTACACATCTGACAGAGGGCTTTGTCTTGTTACAATTGAAGTGGCGACCTAAAATGAATATTGACCTAATGTCTCTGAAATAGAAATGCTGTGTCAATATCATAAATCGCCAACCTCCTTTATGATAATGTTTCAACCAATGAAACTGTAGGAAAATTGGTATCACCTAATATCGTAGTATTTTTCATGCATTTTAAATCAATAGTCAAGTTGCAGCCTCGGGAAACGTTTCATCTGTTGGGTTCCAATTTGAAGGGGAATGGTTTTGCCTGTTGACTGATAAAACATGAAATACATAATATCAAATGTTGCTTGACCAATAATTTCAGTCTTTTCTTGTTGGATGTAAGTTTTGCTGCAGATGATGGTCAACAAGATCATTGGTATACAAAATAACGATTTATCATCAGGATGCTTGTAATTATGTATGCCTGATCACCTCACACGTGACTAGTCTTAGTCTGTAGTGATAAGGTAACATCCACTAATTCATAATTTGACCTGACAGTTTAATAGTAGCAAACATTAAGCCTGGCATGTGATATTTTAATCTGGTGAAATTTCTGGAAAACAGTTCAATCTGTTGTAATGTACATATATATATATATATTGGGTAAAGTAACAAAAAACCCACCTATTACATAGACAAATTAACTACGTAACAATATGGTCATGTGACTTTATGTTTACTGTTTGTAGGCCACTCGGGAAGCAGTGTTGAACAGGACGGAGGAACATGACGAGGCACGACTTCATAGCTTCATGAACACTACAGCTGTGTTTGACCTCCTGGCAGTAGCCCTAGTCAAACGTGCACAGTTCAACAAGCTGTCAGAGGTAAATTATCACAAACTGGGCTCCAGATATTCCTCGGAAACCAACACAGGGTCAAGGCAGTAAATGATTTGGCTGTTTGTTTTATTGGCACAAAGGTCTCGGGACAGCCTGTTATCTACATGGGTTTGCTTTTGTTTGAGGCAGGTGAAAAATTTACATGAATATCCGGAGCTTACATAATTACCGGTATACAGATTGGATTTTCAGGGTGAAAGGATTAAGTAAACATCCGTTTGTTCAACATAGAATTTTTACTGCACAGTTATGAAGGAAAGTACAATTGGTTTTATGTTAAATGAACCACTGAGTAGAATCCATGTTTTGTTAGTCCGAATTATTCTGACGTTTTATCGACTTTTTTTTATATCGGTCTGTCGTCGATAAAAAATTTGATAAAACTTAAGAATAATTTGGACTAATGTTTTGTATACACAATGTATGTATACCATACATACTTATGAAATAATAAAGTTGGAAAATAGTTGAACTTAAAACGTCAATATTTTGGTGGAGATACACTATAATGTGTTAAATATGCCAAAAGCCAAGTAAACCAACTGAATGTATATTGATTTCATACTTTGAAATTATCCTCATAAATGACAATCCAGATATATTACTGGTAAAACGTCACCAGAGCTGTCCATTTCATGGTTCAGTATAGACAGCTTATAAAACATTATATTAAAATCCTCTCACCTAAAATATCTTAGTCAGTAAAACCTGCATCACAGATAATTTTGTTTTTATACTATAGTCGTTTGAGCGAGCAATGCGGTTTTCGTTTGAAGAGTTCCATATTTGGCACCAGTTTGCCAACTCCCTTATTTGTGCTGGAAAGGTGAGTAAAGGGTGAACATACATCATGGTGAAGGTGGGAGGGTTGACAGAGTAATTCATTGATAAAATGCTCTTAGTAACAAATTGTACAAGGTCTTGAGAATGAGTACTTAGAGCAGAGAATCTAGCAGAGAATCTTAAGCCTGTTATCGGTGGATATAAAACTGATCATTGATTCCGTGTAGCTGGAATGTTTAGGTTGAAAAATAAAGATGGTTTACTTCAAAGATAATTCTTTAATCACCTTTGTCTGCTGTAGGAGAGTTGTATTTGTATGTCTGTCACACATTGGAAAATAAGTTTACTAGGTAGGCAAATTGGATCAGTTTTATTCGTAAGCAAAATTTATCGTGCACTTGCAATTGGCGCTTCATAGAGTGATGCAAGGGAGATAACTGGTGTGAAAAAGGCAACATTCTAGACCTTGCATAACATAATGATATACTGTATAGTTGTATGGTTGCTGATATTCATGAGGGTTTTTATTGTGCTAATTTCGAGAATGCATCAAAATTGTGAAATTTTGTAACTTGTGAAGTTTTTAGAACACGTCCAGAACATCCATGTTTTTACATGTCTGAGATGTCGGATGAGTTGAGGCTACTACGTCTTAAAGTAATAGGATTGTGTCGCCATTTCTCAGTAGAATTTCTTCAAATTTTGTAGTTATATTGCTTTGAAGTAAAGAAAATTTTCTTGCACAAAAAAAATATAGGTTGTCATAATTGTAAGGATTTTAAATGGAAATCTATGTAAAAATGAGTGAATTTTGAAAAAAAATGAAACATGCAATGTTTTGCAAAATAATGTCAATCAAAATGATACTGACATAGATTAGTATTGCATTAATGTATATCAATTTCAAAAATGCTGAAATTGTGTAAAATTAATTATCTATAAACGATTAGAAATTGCCATTTTATAATAAAATCATATACACATAGTAATTGCAGGTAAGAGTTACCGTTCTTGAAAAACTTCACAGTAGTGAAATAGGTAGCCGGTTTCCTGAAGTACAGGACAACGGACGCATGTGACTCATTAATTAATAATCAACTGAATTAATGCCTGGATTGCTTTGAAATACTTTAATATTGAAAGAACACACTGTTCTGTCAATAATAAACATACAATATTCATCAGTTTAATATCAAACATTAGAATATGCAGAAATTGTGATACTGTCTCCCTACATTGGATTTTCAACTAGGGATGTACTTCCTACTTCCATTTAGCAATACACTCCTATGGCCTTAACATCATTTGGAAATAAAATTGCGATAGATAATATCATACTGCCGAAATTAGAAGAAAAAATCTGCATTATAATTTCAACTTGTTTGAATGAAAGATCAAAACCCAGATGAATGCACCTGGTTGTCTGTAATCTGGACAAAAGGTTCAAATAATTACGTTGGCAGAGGAATTGTAGAGCTGAAAACTATAAACGGTCTTTGCAGTGCCTTACTTTGTGCTGGCCACATGCAGCCTAACAAAACATGTTCAGTAGGTCCTACATAGATAACGGCTATTTAGATTGGACGCCAAGTCTAAAATGGTCTCTACCAACATTTTCTATCAGGCTTAATTGTTATGTTTTTTTGATCATGCAATATATTAATATAACACTACAGTCACCTTGACACGTTTTGTGAGAAATCAGTGCCGATCTCAACAAACCTAATGTCATTGTGTATCTTTTACATTGCTGATTTTAATAAGATATTTCTTTTAATTTTTTATCCTTCTTGAACAAACAGCTTTGAACTTGATTGATAAAAAAAGAATCAATTCAGGCCAACGAGTGAACAATATTAGATAGAAAAACTTGTTTCATAACTATTGTAAAATAAATAATATATATATATATATAAAAAGGTAAACTGCAGACTACAGATATGTGAAAGTATTATTTTGACTTTTTTAATTGCCTGTGCATGTAATTATAATCTTAAAAATTGGGATGATTCAGAAACATCAAAGAATGAAAAAGTATCAAATGATGACGGAGTACCCAAACGATCTTAAAATCTCTGAATATTCAAAACAAAAGAGAAAATTGAATTTCTTCAAGAATACCTACAAGAATGTGGCTTTATCTCCTTTGTGTGTTGCAAAGAAATTATTGTCTGTAAGATGTTCTCACACCTGGAGATACAAGATGTTCACACACCTGATGATACAAGATGGATCAGTTTCATGTTTTTGCATCTTTCACTTCGTGAAGTAATGCAAGGGGGCACAGCTTATAGACCTTGTATGTTATGATGCTTTGATTTTGATCAAGTAAATCACTGATTATTAGAACATTAAATTTAAAAGAAAAAAGTTTACTTTAAAATGTCTGAATATACCAAAATAATGATATAAGAATAAAGATGATATAGAAGCACCATTTGAAATTTGAAACAACATCTGTATTGATTAGGTTTTATGTGTTTGACCTTACAGTACTCAAGAGCGCTGTTAGTATTGAAGGAATGCTCTCGCCTTAAACCTCAAAACTGTACAGTACTACTGCAAGGAGCCAAGCTTTGTTACGAGTATTTACACCAGGTAGGTCTCCCAGCAGTAAGCCGAGCTAATTTTCAAGCAAATTATGCCATTCTACCTTTTGAATTTTGAATTTTTTATTACTGAATCGGGTCAAGTAAAAGGTTGATTAAAACTTAAATATATTAAATATACCATTGAAATATCATGTAACTATTCACTAACTTTTACAGTTGATAAGTATTTTTTATCACCCTAAAGAATAAATAAATTTTCCAATGGCAAAATTCAAGCATTCAAATTCGCACCAAAAACTAGAAAATGCAAAATTTTCAATTATCAATTCCAGATCAAATATCAAATATTTAAATGTATTTACACTAATATTTATAACTGGATTGCTGTAAATTATACAAGTATGGTTGTGCTACATGGACTAGTTAATGTTATATTATTGAAGACAAACGCATGATTTTATATATTTTCTTATCATTTTTATCAGTCTTGATTCGAAAGTGATTTTCATGTCAGTTTCTTATTAAATTCGTACAAAGTCATTCATTTACTAAGTATTTCTTAAAATGATCACTAAAAGTTTCTCTGCAACAGACATTTATGAAATAATATTTCATTGCGATCTTCATTTGTAGATATTATATTTCACAGGTACAGATGTATTAAATTTGCTATCTACATGTACTTCATTGATCCAAACTTTCCTGGTTTATGGGTAAATTTGACAATGACAATTTGGTTTGCTACACATTGCTCTAAAATTCAAGGCCTGACTATAGTACTTCAACCACAAGAAAAGTTTCATACGTAAAACAGTACCCAAATTATCATTACTTGTGAGCAGGATGAAAAACTGTGTGGTTAGTGATAATAAGTTTCGGGTGGTAACCTTTGGTACATGTGTTGTTAGTATATGGAGGGTATCCTCCTGTCAGAACAAGCCCTGAAGTGTCTGACTGATGATCATCCATTGTGTGCGAGAGTCCATGTGTCCCTAGGGATTGGCTACAGTCTGGCTGCCATGGAGATGAGGCTACAGGTCGACAGACAAGATTATAACAAGAAGTCACTTTCGGCGTTCACTAGGTGAGATATGACACGGAATTCCATGTTTTTTGTCAAGGAAAAAGGATTATAAGACTCTTTTATGCCCAGGGATGTAGGATAGGGAAATTCCAACCGAGGGGGTTTTCAAATTTGGTAAAAGCAGACGCTTTGCCGAGGGTTTTGCAAAATTTGAAAAATCCTGAGTATTTTACATCTTTGATGAGCCATTGTCTCATGGTTGATGATGGTGGGGTTGCATTGGGGTCACCATTACATGCTATTTAACAGTAGGAAAGTATGGGAGAAAACACAGCCCCATGCTCACCCCAAAACAAGCTCACCCTTGGATTGAGATTTCTCTGCCAACATCATGCAGGAGTGATAGATTCTATTACTTTATGCCTTGAATTGCTGAGTTATAGCTAGGAGTTTATTTAATGATAAACACGTCATGCCATATTTAGGTAATGGTGATTTACTTGGGATATGATATAGACTATGTATTTCTTTGTTGTCAGGGCACATATGTATGACCCCAGTGACTACCTGGCCTTGTTCCACCTGGCACTACAGCTGGCCATTCACAGACAGGTTTGTTACACCCCATAATATTCTCTCTATATATACAGACAAGTTTATTACATTCAGTGATATTCTCTCTATGTACACAGACAGGTTTGTTACATTCAGTGATATTCTCTCTATGTATACATACAGGTTTGTTACACCCCATAATATTCTCTCTATATACATATGTATACAGACAGGTTTGTTACACCCCATAATATTCTCTCTATGTATACATACAGGTTTGTTACACCCCATAATATTCTCTCTATATATACAGACAAGTTTATTACAGCCCATAATATTCTCTCTATGTATACAGACAGGTTTGTTACACCCCATAATATTCTCTCTATGTACACAGACAGGTTTGTAACACCCCAAAATATTCTCTATATGTGCACAGATAGGTTTGTTACAGCCTTTTCTCTCTGTTACTTCATTTGTACCTGTCCAGTCCTTTTAGTCACTTACCTCATGATCTCTGATAGCCATAGACTATTACTATTCAAACAAATACAAAGATGTACTTTAGATTGATTGTACACATGTGATGTATACAGCTTGAATCCATGTCTATCTTAGGAACTAGCCCCAAAACAACTACAGACATTTCTGCTTTATATCAGAGGAGATGTTAGTTGTAATACTGAGAAGTAGAACTATAATAAGTACAGGACCACTTCTGTTGGTAACCTGTGTACTTTAATCTGTGTGTAGTAAGACATTGTCTCATCAAAATGTGATTCCTGTGAACTCATCGTTTACTCACCGCTGTCGACTTCATACCATTAGTCTTCGACTACTATTGACGCTTCTACTACTGCTACTGGTACGGACTCCCAGTCTGCACCTGTTATCTGAGAATATTTTAACACATGTTCAAAGCTGTTACTTAATTTCAAATGCTTCTGTCTTTTATGTCTGCTGAATAGTTATTATTTTATTGCAAAGTCCACACGACACAAGTAGAATAGGTATAAGTGTTTACGAGGTCAGTTTATATCCGATGTATAAACTAACTTGTCATGGTAGAACGATGTCAGATGATGTTTATTTCATCACTGAATTCAGTGAGAACCCAATGTTCATTTCATTTGTAATAAAACCAAAATCTGAAAAGAAGTAGTTGAAGAGATACTTTTAGGAATTTGGCCATTTTCTTCAACTTCATAAAAACTTTAGAAACGGTCATTGCTTACAAAACCATAAATATTCGGACATCTTCTGCCTAACAATTTTACTATGGATGAAAAAATTACATGCAGTAATTGAACAATGATTGATGTGTTTTTGTTTTTTCAGATTAATGATGCAATCAAGAATGTGAGGCTAGCGTTACGTTACCGTAACGACCACATCCATTCTCTGCACCTTCTTGTTTTGTTACTGACAGCACAGAAACAATTTGACGAGGCTATATCTCTTCTGAATGCAGCTCTGGAGGAGTACCCAGAAAATCTGAGGTAAATACAGAAAAAGTCTGATGATTTAAAGTCTGTACCTAGGCAGACATTGGTGAGAAAACCTGTCGTAGGTACAGAAATAGTCGAATGAAGCTGATAAGAGTAAGAGAATGTAATACTATACAATAATATACAATAAACAACATTTAATTTAGCGCCCGATATAGCTAACATAAGCCACTCTAAAGCGCTTTACAGTATATAGATATACAATTAATACAATTAGCATATACAATAATCAATACAATTGTTTAGGAATTCTAAGGAGCTGCCTTATCAGGCACTAACTACTAGTCCTATGCCACCTGGCTAATATCTCCCTATGTGTGTATGCCTGCGTGTGTCATGTGCTGGAGGTGTAATGTGTATTAAATGAGAAATCAGTGTGTGAGGTCCATATGAAATTGTATGTCTACAGTTTGATGCTGACCAAGTCACGACTTGAAGAGATCCTGTACGGTCCGGAGCAGGCACTGGCCACATGTAAACACATGCTACAGCTGTGGAAGGAGTTGTACGAGGTTGACACAGAGGAGTGAGTACAGCTAACATCCAATTTGATATTCATCTAGATATCTTCTCAAACATCTCACAAATATCGCAAACATCTCACAAATGTCGCAAACATCTCTCAGATATCGCAAACATCTCACAAATATCGCAAACATCTCTCAGATATCCCAAGGATTCAGACCTTTAACCAAAAAAAACCTCTGGTTATTTTTCACAGACCGAAATAGCAAAATTATCCAAGAATGAATTCTGCTGAAGTTTGCACAATTTTAATGATGGAGAATCGAAGTATGGTAATTTTTATTTAGCCTGTACTCTCTGACCATGTTCCAGGGCAGTGACCGATGTTCGCAGTACCCGGCGGCCCACAGCCACAGACAGGACACAGTTTGACCGTAGAAGTTTTGCCCAGTTACAGCTTAGTGAACTTAATGAAAGGGACACCGGTAAATGTATTCTACAAACAATAGTCTATAAGAAGAAAAATTACAAAGTAACCTATTCAAAATAATTTGGTATTCAGATTACACATCACGACTTCAACTTATTAATAATTCAACACTGCTCTATCTGGTGACAGTTAACAAAAATGAAAGGATCAGTATGCTTCAAAAATATCTCACGTTTCCCCCCCATAAAGATTACTTGTCCAGAAAGATATTTTGAAAGGTAAGCCCCCCCGGCAGTATGGGCTGGGTCCAAAGAGGGGAGATAGGGGCAGAAACTATCAATTTCTGATAGGATCGGAGTACTTTTGATCTTAGTATTTATCAATCTTAAGTGAATATTGGTTAAATAATTCTAAAGAGCAATCATTTATTGACAGTCTATAGAAAATTCATTGGTTAATTGACTACAGAGAATTCCTTGCTTGAATAAGGTTATAGAGATTTGAATTCATTGGTAAAATAAGTTTATAAAGGATCATTGGTTGAATAAATCTGTATGAGGTACTAGCGATTATTGGAATAAGAAAGTAATCTTAATAATGTGTAATTATTGAATGAAATATTTATACCTAGAGAATCACACATGATCACAGGATGAGTAATATACCAGTATGATCAGGAACTTCTTTCCCTGTCTGAAAACGTTTTCAAGGAAGGAATTGTCAAGGAAAACATTTGGCTCTACCTCTTACAAAAGATATTTTAAAGTCACTGAGATCAGAATTTTCAGTGAATAAAGTATGTTTTGTTTCAGGTTCGTTAAGAGCTGAGTCTATAGCAGCATCGCGAGTGGAACAGACAATGTCGGAGGTGGCTTCTTCACTAAACAGTACATTCCAGCCCCGTCCTGGCTCCCAGCAGACCTGGTTACTTCAGGCCCAGATCTGGTTACATCTAGGTAAGTGTTATCCTGTTACTATAACAGATCTGACCGCACCTCAAGCTCTTGATGTTCGGAACGCTTAAATTGTACGGAGCATTTCATCTATACTATTTCACCTGGAGTAACTAGACTTGGTATGCAAGTACATCTTGGGTTGGTGGAGTGTCAGGTAAACAAAGTAGGTCACTGTGACCTTTGCTTTGACCTTTGACCTCAACCTTTGAAACGTTTGTCCGGGCATGTTTTCTATACTAAATCACCTGTTACAACCAGATTTGGTGTACAACAACATCTTGGGATATATATAAGAACGTAAAGTGTAAAAAGTAGGTACCTTTGACCCAAGGTTTGATCTTTGACATTAACCTTTGACATTAACCTTTGACAAATTTTGTCTCTGGCATATCATCTATACTATTTCCGCTGGAGTAACCAAATTTGTATGCAAGTAGTACATCTTGGGATATGGTGGAGTTCCCGATGAACAATACATTTCTGTTAACATATCTGACGAATGATAAAAAATCTAGTTGTTTTAGGTCTTACAGGTAGACCGGCAGATTTCAAATTAAAAAAACAACAACAATACTTGCTGATCATTGGTTAAGAAACATTTAAAAATTAGAATCATAAGAATGCGTTGTTATTGTATTTGATAGAATATTAAACTGATTAAGCAATCCTTTTCCTTATCACTTGTAATCATATACTTTTCACAAATACTATTATAAGTATGATAATATGTTGAATTACGATCATACAAGTGTAATTTTGATATTTACAATCAATTGTAATTGTACAGATGACCTACAAAAGTAAGCTTCACTTATAACGCTATTTTAATTCACTGATAATCTGTCCCTCTGTCATGACGAACCGATCAGACAGTACAACTGACTGTGACAATGTTCAAAGGCAAAAGTAAAATTAGCCTCGCCCCTGAAATTCATAATGTATTTGGTCCAATCTACACAATATATACACATTGGGTCAAGTCAACTGCTGTACCTGACAAGGGAAACTGCTCCTAATTATAACAGTACTTGGCACAGTTGTATGCTAATGCAATATTTAAACCATTGAGTAAAAAATCCATTAGAAATTACTTGTGCCACCATTTTGCTATTTGCACATTTAATTGGTTGTGATGCGAGATATGGTTAACAATAACAGATGCACACCTAACAGTCTTTTTTCAGACATCTCCATTGATTAGATAGATCTAATGGTAGTTAAAAAAAACCCTATTTAATGCAATATTTATAAAATTTTCATGCAAGTAATTGAATTCCTTGACACAGGTTTATCTAATCTCAGCCAATGAGTTCTAGCTAATCATTTCTTATATTCAGTAGAGACCAAAGAGATGAATTATTTACATTTAGGCAGGGGACACAGATATCATTGATGTTTTGAGAAAGATTTTCAAATAAATTACAAGTGAGTTTGCACAAAGGGCTATTCCAGAAATAAAAAAGAAATAGTATATAATATTGTACGTTAGTGTGTCGTATGTCTTAAACAGCTCGTCTGTATGTACTGTGTATGTACTGTATGTTAGTGTGTTGTATGTCTTTAACATTCCGGCTGTACTGTGTATGTACTGTATGTTAGTGTGATGTATGTCTTTAACATTCCGGCTGTACTGTGTATGTACTGTATGTTAGTGTGTTGTATGTCTTTAACATTCCGGCTGTACTGTGTATGTACTGTATGTTAGTGTGATGTATGTCTTTAACATTCCGGCTGTACTGTGTATGTACTGTATGTTAGTGTGTTGTATGTCTTTAACATTCCGGCTGTACTGTGTATGTACTGTATGTTAGTGTGATGTATGTCTTTAACATTCCGGCTGTACTGTGTATGTACTGTATGTTAGTGTGTTGTATGTCTTTAACATTCCGGCTGTACTGTGTATGTACTGTATGTTAGTGTGATGTATGTCTTTAACATTCCGGCTGTACTGTGTATGTACTGTATGTTAGTGTGTTGTATGTCTTTAACATCCCGGCTGTACTGTGTATGTACTGTATGTTAGTGTGTTGTATGTCTTTAACATTCCGGCTGTACTGTGTATGTACTGTATGTTAGTGTGATGTATGTCTTTAACATTCCGGCTGTACTGTGTATGTACTGTATGTTAGTGTGTTGTATGTCTTTAACATTCCGGCTGTACTGTGTATGTACTGTATGTTAGTGTGATGTATGTCTTTAACATTCCGGCTGTACTGTGTATGTACTGTATGTTAGTGTGTTGTATGTCTTTAACATTCCGGCTGTACTGTGTATGTACTGTATGTTAGTGTGATGTATGTCTTTAACATTCCGGCTGTACTGTGTATGTACTGTATGTTAGTGTGTTGTATGTCTTTAACATTCCGGCTGTACTGTGTATGTACTGTATGTTAGTGTGATGTATGTCTTTAACATTCCGGCTGTACTGTGTATGTACTGTATGTTAGTGTGTTGTATGTCTTTAACATTCCGGCTGTACTGTGTATGTACTGTATGTTAGTGTGATGTATGTCTTTAACATTCCGGCTGTACTGTGTATGTACTGTATGTTAGTGTGTTGTATGTCTTTAACATTCCGGCTGTACTGTGTATGTACTGTATGTTAGTGTGATGTATGTCTTTAACATTCCGGCTGTACTGTGTATGTACTGTATGTTAGTGTGTTGTATGTCTTTAACATTCCGGCTGTACTGTGTATGTACTGTATGTTAGTGTGATGTATGTCTTTAACATTCCGGCTGTACTGTGTATGTACTGTATGTTAGTGTGTTGTATGTCTTTAACATTCCGGCTGTACTGTGTATGTACTGTATGTTAGTGTGATGTATGTCTTTAACATTCCGGCTGTACTGTGTATGTACTGTATGTTAGTGTGTTGTATGTCTTTAACATTCCGGCTGTACTGTGTATGTACTGTATGTTAGTGTGATGTATGTCTTTAATATTCCGGCTGTACTGTGTATGTACTGTATGTTAGTGTGATGTATGTCTTTAACATTCCGGCTGTACTGTGTATGTACTGTATGTTAGTGTGTTGTATGTCTTTAACATTCCGGCTGTACTGTGTATGTACTGTATGTTAGTGTGATGTATGTCTTTAATATTCCGGCTGTACTGTGTATGTACTGTATGTTAGTGTGTTGTATGTCTTTAACATTCCGGCTGTACTGTGTATGTACTGTATGTTAGTGTGATGTATGTCTTTAACATTCCGGCTGTACTGTGTATGTACTGTATGTTAGTGTGTTGTATGTCTTAAACATTCCGGCTGTACTGTGTATGTACTGTATGTTAGTGTGATGTATGTCTTTAACATTCCGGCTGTACTGTGTATGTACTGTATGTTAGTGTGATGTATGTCTTAAACATTCCGGCTGTACTGTGTATGTACTGTATGTTAGTGTGTTGTATGTCTTAAACATCCCGGCTGTACTGTGTATGTACTGTATGTTAGTGTGTTGTATGTTTTAAACAGCCCGGCCGTATGTACTGTGTATGTATTGTACTGTAGTGTGTTGTATGTCTTAAACAGCTCGGCTGTACTGTGTATGTACTGTATGTTAGTGTGATGTATGGTTTTAACATTCCGGCTGTACTGTGTATGTACTGTATGTTAGTGTGTTGTATGTCTTAAACAGCCTGGCCCTATGTACTGTGTATGTATTGTACGGTAGTGTGTTGTATGTCTTAAACAGCTCGGCTGTACTGTGTATGTTCTGTATGTTAGTGTGATGTATGTCTTTAACATTCCGGCTGTACTGTGTATGTATTGTATGTTAGTGTGTTGTATGTCTTAAACAGCCCGGCTGTACTGTGTATGTACTGTATGTTAGTGTGTTGTATGTCTTAAACATTCCGGCTGTACTGTGTATGTACTGTACGTATGTAAGTGTGTTGTATGTCTTAAACAGCCCGGCCGTATGTACTGTGTATGTATTGTACGGTAGTTTGTTGTATGTCTTAAACATCTCGGCTGTACTGTGTATGTACTGTATGTAAGTATGTTGTATGTCTTATACATTCCGGCTGTACTGTGTATGTATTGTACGGTAGTGTGTTGTATGTCTTTAACAGCCTGGCTGTACTGTGTATTATTGTATTTACAGCTGAACTGTACTTAACTCTGGACAAGATGTCGGAGGCTGAAGCCTGCGTTGTTGAGACCAGTGCTATCTTCCCTCTTTCTCACCAGGTGGCATTCATGGTAAGAACACGTCACATTCTCTGCTGTCACGTGATGATGATTAATTCAACTACAAACTTTTACTGAAAGTTTTAAATAAACAAAAGTGTGTTCATTAAGTTATTGTTCCATTTTGTTGCTGAGAAACACCCATCCCCCATAGAAAAATAGTATTATAAACCTCTTGCTTAAAAAATCAAATTTAACTGCTGGGATAGAAAATTCCAAAGTTTCATTATAAGCATTTTAATTTATTTTTTGAATTTTTAGGGCAACCTTATATTGCCTAATACAGCACTCAAATTTAGAAACCTGAATGATTTCATAGCACTGGTGCAGTTAGCTTTATACCAGGTATGCATGGCCAGTAAGTCATGTTCTTAATTATGTTTTTTGTTTTGTTTTGTGTTGCAGAAAGGACGAGTACTGGAACACAAATTGAAGTACAATGAGGCTAAACTGTGTTATGAAGATGCCATTTCTATCAATCCTGGCCACACCAAGTCTTTACAACATTTGGTAAGGCTAACTCATAGCTTCAACCTCGTAATAGATCAGATAGGATCAGGCATGTTTATGTCACCCTGGTAAAATACAAGCCCCTTCCTACCGACCCGTCTAGAGAAGATTCCTCTTGAGTTCATTCGGTAGAGCGTAAGCCTAGTAAACCCGAGTTCCCAGGTTGGACTCCTAGCATAGACATTGAAACAAATAATGACCCGTGTTACATTGGTACCCACACAGAGACTAGAGAAATATTGACAAATGTGCTCAGTGATACTTTCACAAGAATCGTAATAACCCCTGGAAAAACGCCGGACAAGTTCTTATTTGGTGGGGGAGTATGTCACCCTGGTAAAATACTAGCCGCTAATTCCTACCGACTCGGCTAGGGAGAATTTCGCTCTAGCTCATTTGGTTTAGCAATTAAACATTCTTAATCCAACTTGACAGGTGTGTCAATGTGATGTGTATAAGGGTAATACTGTATGTGGTAAGGGTAAGACTGTATGTGGTAGAGTAATACTGTGTGTGGTAAGGGTTAGGCTGTATGTGGTAAGGGTAAGACTGTATGTGGTAAGGGTAAGACTGTGTGTGGTAAGGGTTAGGCTGTATGTGGTAAGGGTAAGACTATGTGGTAAGGGTAAGACTGTGTGTGGTAAGGGTAATACTGTGGTAAGGGTAATACTGTGTGTGGTAAGGGTAAGACTGTGGTAAGGGTAAGACTATGTGGTAAGGTTAAGGCTGTGTGTGGTAAGGGTAATACTGTGGTAAGGGTAAGACTGTATGTGGTAAGGGTAAGACTGTATGTGGTAAGGGTAAGACTGTGTGTGGTAAGGGTTAGGCTGTATGTGGTAAGGGTAAGACTATGTGGTAAGGGTAAGACTGTGTGTGGTAAGGGTAATACTGTGGTAAGGGTAATACTGTGTGTGGTAAGGGTAAGGCTGTATGTGGTAAGGGTAAGGCTGAATGTGGTAAGGGTAATACTGTGTGTGGTAAGGGTTAGGCTGTATGTGGTAAGGGTAAGGCTGAATGTGGTAAGGGTAATACTGTGTGTGGTAAGGGTTAGGCTGTATGTGGTAAGGGTAAGGCTGAATGTGGTAAGGGTAATACTGTGTGTGGTAAGGGTTAGGCTGTATGTGGTAAGGGTAAGGCTGAATGTGGTAAGGGTAATACTGTGTGTGGTAAGGGTTAGGCTGTATGTGGTAAGGGTAAGGCTGTATGTGGTAAGGGTAATACTGTGTGTGGTAAGGGTAATACTGGTAAGGGTAATACTGGTAAGGGTAATACTGTGTGTGGTAAGGGTAATACTGTGCTAAGGGTAAGACTATGTGTGGTAAGGGTAATACTGTGTGTGGTAAGGGTTAGGCTGTATGTGGTAAGGGTAAGGCTGTATGTGGTAAGGGTAATACTGTGTGTGGTAAGGGTAATACTGGTAAGGGTAATACTGGTAAGGGTAATACTGTGTGTGGTAAGGGTAATACTGTGCTAAGGGTAAGACTATGTGTGGTAAGGGTAATACTGTGTGTGGTAAGGGTTAGGCTGTATGTGGTAAGGGTAAGGCTGTATGTGGTAAGGGTAATACTGTGTGTGGTAAGGGTAATACTGGTAAGGGTAATACTGTGTGTGGTAAGGGTAAGGCTGTGTGTGGTAAGGGTAATACTGTGGTAAGGGTAAGACTGTATGTGGTAAGGGTAAGACTGTATGTGGTAAGAGTAATACTGTGTGTGGTAAGGGTAAGGCTGTGTGTGGTAAGGGTAATACTGTGTGTGGTAAGGGTAAGGCTGTGTGTGGTAAGGGTAAAACTGTGGTAAGGGTTATACTGTGTGTGGTAAGGGTAAGACTGTATGTGGTAAAGGTAATACTGTATATGTTAAGAGTAAGACTGTATGTGGTAAGGGTAAGGCTGTATGTGGTAAGGGTAAGGCTGTATGTGGTAACGGTAAGGCTGAATGTGTTAAGGATAAGGCTGAATGTAGTAAGGGTAAGGCTGTATGTGGTAAGGGTAATACTGTATATGGTAAGAGTAAGACTGCATGTGGTAAAGGAAAGGCTATGTGGTAAGGGTAAGACTGTTTATGGTAAGGGTAAGACTGTATGTGGTAAAGGTAATACTGTATATGTTAAGAGTAAGACTGTATGTGGTAAGAGTAAGACTGTATGTGGTAAGAGTAATACTGTGTGTGGTAAGGGAAAGGCTGTGTGTGGTAAGGGTAATACTGTATATGGTAAGAGTTAGACTGTATGTGGTAAGGGTAAGGCTGTATGTGGTAACGGTAAGGCTGAATGTGTTAAGGATAAGGCTGAATGTAGTAAGGGTAAGGCTGTATGTGGTAACGGTAAGGCTGAATGTGTTAAGGATAAGGCTGAATGTAGTAAGGGTAAGGCTGTATGTGGTAAGGGTAAGGCTATGTGGTAAGGGTAAGACTGTTTATGGAAAGGGTAAGACTGTATGTGGTAAGAGTAATACTGTGTGTGGTAAGGGTAATACTGTATATGGTAAGAGTAAGACTGCATGTGGTAAAGGTAAGGCTATGTGGTAAGGGTAAGACTGTTTATGGTAAGGGTAAGACTGTATGTGGTAAGAGTTAGACTGTATGTGGTAAGGGTAAGACTGTATGTGGTAGGGGTAAGGCTGTATGTGGTAAATGTAAGGCTGTGTGTGGTAAGGGTAAGACTATGTGGAAAGGTTAGGCTGTATGTGGTAAGGGTAAGACTGTATGTGGTAAGGGTTATACTGTGTGTGGTAAGGGTAAGACTGTATGTGGTAAGGGTAAGACTATGTGATAAGTGTAAGACTATGTGGTAAGGGTAAGGCTGTATGTGGTAAGGGTAAGGCTGTATGTGGTAAGGGTAAGACTGTATGTGGTATATTCTCAAGTTTTACATACAGCTCAAAGTTAAAGGCAATGTTCTGTGTAACTTGACCTGCCAGGCCCCTTACTACATAGCTTTGTGAGTTCTAGGCACCTCCACAACATTCTGCTATTCGGCTTGCTTTATTTTATATCAAAGTTGCATTCCCTGATCAGTTGCACTTCCAGTTCATTAAACATCTTAGCTAAAATAGCAGAAATAGTTTTAATACAAAATGCCACTCTTGATTCACAAGGTTTAAGTAGCTGGTGCTAACAGCTCATTGATGATTTCTGTTTTAACTTTTAGGGTATGGTGTTACACCAGCTGGAGAATGATAAGATGGCAGAGAAAATATTGATGGACGCTGTCAACACAGATCCTGTGTCTCACGAGTCATGGTAAGTATACAAGTGGTATACACAAGGCGGTTCGCACTGAGCCTTCGATTTTGCTATGACATATTTCAGGGATGAAGAGAGTGAAAGCGAGCATAACCCCTGGATATTGAGGATGTGATACGCCAGAAGCATGCATGAAAGTTGTACAGACAATTTCCTCCGCCAATTTACAACCATTGTATACGTACTAGCATATCTTTTTCAGTTACTGTCACATCATCCCACGTAATACGTATCCAAGAAACATTTGTTTATTCGGATCCAGTGCCCATATTGAATCATACTGTCATGATTACTTATTTAACCTATATGTATTTATTTACATGTATATAAATGTCAAGTTTGACGAAAAAAAATGTAAATTATAAAAAAAAACGGAGTTAATTGACAAAAAAAGTTTGTTATAATTTGCAACAAATAAGATCTATTGTGTGGCATCATAGATTGCCCATCTTTTGATGACATCACTTATTTAACCCATATGTATATATTTACAAGTATTTAAATGTCAAGTTTGACGAGAGAAAAAAAGTTAATTATAAAAAAAAACGGAGTTAATTGACAAAAAAAGTTTGTTATAATTTGCAACAAATTAGATCTATTGTGTGGCATCATAGATTGCCCATCTATTGATGACATCACTTATTTAACCTATATGTATACATGTTTATTAAAGGGGGATAATGTATAATTAAGACAAAGGTATAATGCACTATACATTGATACTTTAATCAGTCTGGTGGACTTTGATTTCCACATCTTTAGCCTCTCTTCGAACACTTTTTTATTTCAGTGGAAAATGTGTATAAAACAAAGATTTTGGTGATGCTGTCGCTGCTTTCAGCAGTGTTTCTATAAATGAGCAGACAGATTGCTGAATGGAATGGCTTAGTAATACACATTTTAGAGTCCTGGTACTTTGTAATACGTATTATAGAGATAAGGTAATCCATATCTTCTGAATGTTTATAGGACATTGTATCATGTATTGACTCATTCTCCCCTGAAGACACATTTGAACTCTTCCAATTCAAAGGTTGGAATAGTTCATTATGAAATTTTAGGGATAAACAAGTTAATAAACAAGAAATATCAATCTGCGAAATGGTTTCTGATGAGATCCTCCCCTCCAACCCTTTCAGCTACAAGTCATTCTAAAATCTAAAGAAATCCTTGATATAATTTGTGTATCTGAACAAACTCTGTATTTCCATTTTGTTTGTATGTTTAGGTATCTACTTGGCTTAGTTCTGGAGACACTCGATCAGGACGATGCGGCTACAGACTGTCATACGACGGCATTGGAACTTGAGGCCAGTAGTCCAACTGTACCGTTCACTGTCATCCCTCGGCTGATGCAGTAGTTACAAAATATTACCTATATTATCTTCTCATGCAGTACCATGTTTGAAACTTACAAACACCTTATTTATTTTTTCTTCACACAAACATGCTAAATACAATTTGTTGAATGACAAAATTATGTTTGAACATCACTTATAATAAAGAGGTTATTAGTTAATGAGGACTCTGGGCCAAATTCTGGTTCTCTTGAGAAGGTATATTTGAATATATATTCTGGATTTTGTAACAGACTGACAAGCTACACACAAGTAAAAGGTAGCCATCTCTGGTGTGTTCAGATTTAAGAAATATTAAGAACAAACTTGAATGAACATTTTATACCCCTTCATTTAGTGTGGCTGGGGAGGGGGGAGGGGGCATATAAGATTACTCATATCTGTTTCATCTTGTCCCCTCCTGGACCAATTCATAGTCTTAGCGTCTTCATTCATTTCTCAACAGATTTTAACTATGTAAATTTAATACAAATGTCAAATACAGTAATACCTCGGATGAGCTTGTATTTTCGGCTTCGAAGATCAAGGCAAAGGTCAATGACACTATTTATAGATTTGTTTTAGCTAAAATAGTGACATCAACACATCAATTTCATGTGAAGGTTGTGTATTTTCTAATTATTAATACTGAAAATATAACCATGCCTGTTCAGGGATTCAAACTGTAATTATTCTCCAGATTATATGCAGAAAAATTCTCTTATTTTTACACATTTTGTTTAAAGTCTATTTAATTAAACTAAATCCAACTCGTTCTGTTCAGAGATTGATTAGTCTAACAACCTTTTAACATAAATCTTGCACATTCTCAGAAAAATTGAAATTTAGAATCCTGCATTTCTAGGGAACTAAAATGATAATCCATACACTGTGAATACGAAAAAAAAGGGATATTTCAGATATTTCTCAAAAGAAAATTTGTGTTAATGATTCGTTCAAGTAATCAAGAGTTGAACAACTGGGTCTTTTTTCTTATTATGTAACACCAACTTTAACATCCAGTGAGTGGAAACAAGTCATCGAAAATGTTTCCAAAAGTTCTTCAATTCAAATCCATACTCTAAATGTACTGGGATTCCAGATGCTCATCTAATGACAAAAAACACAAAAATATTTGTAAATAAAAAAAACCCAACACTTTCATTAAACTCAAATATGTTATATCATTTTTTTTGGGTTAAAGACTTTTTTAAGTCTTTGAACAACTGGAGTTTTGATATTATTTTGTCAAATAAACTTCCAGGAGAACATTGCCGGATCTGTTAAATTAGTTTAAATCCATCAACTAAATATATCCAAGTAAGGGAAGTAATCCAGGTTTGTATGACAGTTTATAAAGGGTAATTTTTCTCATTTGGATATTTTTTGTGTAAAATGTATACATGAACGGGTATGGATGAATGTATGCAAGAAGTTCCTGGACTAAGATATAACCTTGCCAGGCTGTGATGTGAGAAGAACCAGACAATTCAGGATCAATATTTTTTAGTCCCATATTTGACACAGATACATTACCTGCAACTTGAAATATGGATAGACTGATAAAATCTGACTTTCCCATGTTTTGTTCTAGAAGTAAGAGTAATGTAAAACATTAGGAACCTGCCCCCAGTGGCATGCACCTATACAGTGTCATGCTGTAAAAAAGCTCTGGAGGATATTTTTGGTGTGTCACTTTTTACAGTTCAAACCTACGAATCTTGGATCTCCCATGAGCATCAATACAAAAACCATGAAAAATTCTTGATATTAAGGATCCCTGTCCCACTACAGGCAAACACCAGAGAATTCTACTTGGACACACAGTAACCTACCTTTAACTTGTTTTTGTTTTATCTGTTGTGCAACTGGGCCAGGGTATAATAGTTGGAGGGCCAGGGTACATCCATTGACAAGGTAGCTCATTTGTATGATAGGTGGAGGGCCAGGGTACAACCATTGGCTAGGTAGCTCATTTGAATAATGGTTGGATGGTTAGGGTACATCCATAGCCTTGGTAGCTCAGGTTGGTGGGTTAGGGTACATCCATTGGCTAGGTAGCTCATTTGAATAATGGTTGGATGGCCAGGGTACATCCCTTGCCTTGGTAGCTCGGGTTGGAGGGTTAGGGTACATCCATAGCCTTGGTAGCTCAGGTTGGTGGGTTAGGGTACATCCATAGCCTTGGTAGCTCAGGTTGGAGGGATAGGGTACATCCATTGGCTAGGTAGCTCATTTGTATGATAGGTGGAGGGCCAGGGGACAACCATTGACAAGGTAGCTTATTTGTATAATGGTTAGAGGGCCAGGGTACATCTATTGACTAGGTAGCGCGTTTGTATAATGGTTGGTGGGCCAGGGTACAACCAGTGACTAGGTAGCTCATTAGTATGATGGTTGGAGGGCCAGGGTACATCAATTGACTAGGTAGCTCATTTGTATAGTGGTTGGAGGGCCAGGGTACATCAATTGTCTAGGTAGCTCATTTGAATAATGGTTGGATGGCCAGGGTACAACCATCGACTAGGTAGCTCATTTGTATGATAGGTGGAGGGCCAGGGTATAACCATTGACTAAGTAGCTCATTTGTATAGTGGTTGGAGGGCCAGGGTACAACCCTTGACTAGGTAGCTCATTAGTATGATGGTTGGAGGGCCAGGGTACAACCCTTGACTAGGTAGCTCAGTTGTATAATGGTTGGCGGGCCAGGGTACATCTATTGACTAGGTAGCGCGTTTGTATAATGGTTGGTGGGCCAGGGTACAACCAGTGACTAGGTAGCTCAATTGTATAATAGGTGGAGGGCCAGGGTATAACCATTGACTAAGTAGCTCATTTGTATAATGGCTGGGGGCAGGGTACAACCATTTACAAGGTAGCTCATTTGTATAGTGGTTGGAGGGCCAGGGGACAACCATTGACAAGGTGGCTCATTTGTATAATAGGTGGAGGGCCAGGGGACATCCATGACAAGGCAGCTCATTTGTATAATAGTTTGAGGGCCAGGGTACAACCAGTGACTAGGTAGCTCAGTTGTATAATGGTTGGATGGTTAGGGTACATCCATTGTCTGGGGATTTCGTTTGTCTAATAGGTGGCGGGCCAGGGTACACCCATTGAGAAGGTAGCTCATTTGTATGATAGGTGGAGGGCCAGGGTATAACCATTGACTAAGTAGCTCATTTGTATGATAGGTGGAGGGCCAGGGGACATCCATGACAAGGCAGCTCATTTGTATAATGGCTGGGGGCAGGGTACAACCATTGACTAGGTAGCTCATTTGTATGATAGGTGGAGGGCCAGGGTATAACCATTGACTAAGTAGCTCATTTGTATAATAGTTGGAGGGCCAGGGAACATCCATTGTCTAGTTAGCTCATTTGTATAGTGGTTGGAGGGCCAGGGAACATCCATTGCCTTGGTAGCTCAGGTTGGAGGGATAGGGTACATCCATTGGCTAGGTAGCTCATTTGTATAATGGTTAGAGGGCCTGGGTACATCCATGACAAGGCAGCTCATTTGTATAATGGTTGGAGGGCCAGGGTACATCCATTGCCTTGGTAGCTCAGGTTGGAGGGTTAGGGTACATCCATTGACTAGGCAGATCTTTTGTGTAATGATTGGAGGGCCTGGGTTTGATTCATGGTCTAGTTTGTTGCCTTTTAAAACTTGGAGTACTTTTACTGCTTTTATTTATTTATCTATTTATTTACTTTTTTTAATTTTATCTTCATTTTTCGTAAAAGTCCCACAATGCATGTTTTTTTTCCGGATTATCTAGCACATCAATAGTCATGCCAGAAAAAAGATTTCAAAGTACAGTTATACATTTTGACAGCGGTATGGGGATCCTTGAGTGTTATATTCCAATACCCTGCAGATTTTATTTATACTACGTGCAACACTGCAAACTTTTGTGTCGGGCAAAGCTAAAGCACTTTACAGTTTTCTCCAATTTAAATATCAATTCCTTTGATGTAAAATGACCTATGTTGAACAAACAATGATGTCTTCCATTCCAATTCGTTTGTAATGTTATTTGTGAAAAGTGACTTGTTTGCTGTTAGTATTACTTGGGACCAATTTGATCAAACGAAATTCAAAAAAATAAATTGAGCAAGATACTTTACTCCGCTTGTTCCAGTCTACTCAGCTGTAAATGAGTATGTGGTTGGGCAGTGCTAGACTTTTTGAATGCTAGCTGTGAGTGCCGAAATGGCAGCACCGGCTGTTTGCTCCCCAGGGAGTTGAGTAAGGTATTGGCTGGTTGCAAAGGCCCTATAACCACGGATAATAATTTGTGAACCGCTTTGAGACGACCTACGAGCTAGGTTGTGATAAAGCGGTATATAAGAACCTCGAATGATTATTATCATTATAAGTGTCTATATGTGTGTCCTATTGGTGTATATTTGATTGTGAAGGATCTCAAACCTTAATTAACTCACACTGTGTCATCAGGTCGACAGCAAAACTCTTTCAGTTAAGCTGATAGTAGTAAGATTCATAATGTGTCTGAAGTAAAATAAAAGGTAAATTTTTGGACAATCTTGACATAGTCATGAGCCATATATATCCTATATCAGGTTTGTTTATGTGAAGTTATATATCATCAATGGCAATGAATATGATACCAGTGGTGCAATACAAGTGTGAATGTTGTTTAGACGGAAGGGTCTATGTATAACATTGTGATATGTAAATACGTATTGTTATTTATTAATATTAGTTATTTTATCTTGTACTTGAATAAAACTTATGATATTTTTTTGAGGCTTTTTGTCATTTTCTATGTGAAGACATTTTTCACAAAAAGTATGAGGGATTTGACCCTGTCTTATTATACCCAACACTTAGTAAAGGGCGGGGGGGNTAGTAATTGCTTTGTCAGTGCGTCCGTGTGTATCCTCATAGGCGTCTGTCCGTCCACAGTTAAAAGTTTTTAAGATATCTCAAAAATCTTCCACAGACTTGGTATATACTCATACCATAGTATTTTTATATCGATTTCTACACTTGCTTGAACAAAATGACACGACGATCAGTACAGTGATGATGAATGGGATATGTAGTAAAATATCTCGAAATATCTTTTTGATAGGTAAATAAATGTTGTTGCGAAAGATATATTATGAAAACTAAGGGAGAGTTTAGAATATAAACACTGGTCTTATAGCATCGCGTGTTACTTTTGTCCAAACACCATTGTGTGCTAAAAATAGTGACATTCTTCTTACTGACGCACGTTTCCAGATAAAAGACACGTTGAATACCAAACATCTCAGAAGGCTTTTATAGTTTTACAAATATTATCGTTCCCTATTTGATATCTCTAACTTATATGTACCTAACTTCTTTTCAAAGACAAACACTTTTCTATGGGACACTAAGACTACATTTATACAAGGCGAGTCTGTTAAAGTTGTAATGGGAATCTTAACCAACGACTGAACCATTCAACCATTTTATTTATGTAATGGATTTATATCCAGTATCATAACGTGATCATTGAGATGCATATAACCACATGCGTTGACTCATTGTCAAATTTTCAGACGATCGGCCGCGGTAGTAGTACACAGACAGCAAATGACAAATACGCCGTCCCATATAGTCAGTACTGTTAGAAGTACGGAGTGTTCCTCAGTTTGACGAAAACATTTCAATAACACTTACTTTCTCCGTCCGAGCTTCAGGAAAAAAACATGTCGCTGTCTACTTTGACATGTCTTCTGCTTGTTTTTGTGTTGACTGGAACGAATGCTGCTTCCCTTACGTACGCAAAGAACTTATCCATCGCCTTATCCACTGGATACAACAAAGAACTCCGACCAGTCGATGACCAGAATAGCAATGTGTCCATTACTATTGATATGTATCTCATCTCTATCAAGGACTTTGATGAGGTCTCAGGAACATTGAATGTCGTAGCCGTGTTAATCATAAATTGGTATGATGAGTCTTTGATTTGGGATCCAGCTGCCTACGATTGGATGCACAACATAAACATAGGACAAAATAATATATGGCTTCCTAAACTCTACAATCTCAAAGTCTCCAACTCATTTACTGCCGTCAGCGATTCTGACCTAAAGGTGAGGATTCATAACGATGGTTTGATTACATGGCAGCCAGGCGGCCTCATAGACGTCAAATGTAACCCGGATGTGTCGTACTTCCCATTTGATACTCAGACATGTTCCATACAGTTTGCAACATGGGGCTATTCGCAAAGCGAAGTTTGGCTTAAGCCATTTAAAAAAGAATTAACATTGGATTTCTATGAAACTAATGGCGAGTGGTCCTTAGATAAAACTTCAACAGGAACGTCTGAGCTCAGCGATATCAGTCTAGCTATTTTCAATATCACAATCTCACGACTTCCAGCTTTTCATATTGTCAACACCCTCATGCCAATCTTCCTGTTAATGTTCATCAATCCGCTGGTGTTCTTACTGCCATGCGATTCAGGAGAACGTGTTGGATTCAGTTTGACAGTGTTCCTCACCTTCACAGTATTCATCACCATCATCAACAGTGTCCTTCCCGCCAACTCTGAAAGCATGTCCAGAATATCCTACTTTATTTTTGTTGTCCTCGTCGCCAGTGGCGTCATCGCGTCCATCAACATATTCCAACTGCGAATGTACCACAGGGAAGAAAGCTTGGAAGTACCTCGATGGTTGGTTAGATTCGTGCGTATTCTCAACTGCCAATTTAAATCTGGTAAAAACAACGTCAACTCTTTTTGTCCAGAAGATGCAAACTCGAATTCAGTTACAGATCACGAAAGAATTGGACAGTCTGTTACAAAAGAACACCCACCAGTAGACAATATTCAAGAAATGACGTGGAAGGATGTCGTGCGTATTACGGATAATTTTTACATGTTGGTTTTCTATGTAACTATATCTGTGTCCAGCATTGCTATTCTGGTCAGTATGTCCCAGGGTAACAAGTGACCCCAACTTGTAAAGCACGCCCTGTGTTATATATCTGTTTGTGGTATTAACTATATGTTAGCCAGTAAAAGTAACGATTATGCCACAATTTTTAAGCATTGAACTGCTTTCAGTTGGAATTCAAATTGCCTATGAATGCCAACTGAAAGCAGTTCAATACATTTATTTACCATTTTGGAATCTGGAAATCTCATAAAAAATAATTGCACTTAACATTATTCAGCATTTAGTTCAAATAATGTATGTATCGTATATGCTTGTTCAATGATTGAACAGCCATCGCTCGGGGAAGTGAAATCAAGTGTAACAATTATGACGTCAACAATCGGTCCATGGCATTCATAGCCTATATGAATGGCAACTGAATTTGGTAGGGTTATATAGTAGCTATCCTATATGATGGTAAATATATGTAACGTAAATGACTTGTCTTTGTCAGCTAACCAGGCTAAGTAATGATTTTGACTTTTGAGACGTACCATGTTTGGTTTCTATCTGCATACTACTGGAGTATTATATAAATATTCATGCTTTATTTCAATTTGTTTTTGAGTGTCCTCGTTTTTTTAATCTTCTATTTTTGTCATTGTTCGTTAACACTATGGTATTACCAGGTAATTTAAATGAGATTTATAATGCATGGAATAAAGTCCAAATACCCTATGATATGTTTACAGATAAGTACACTGTTTTGTTTTGTGATCAATGTTGCATTTTAAAGTGAAAGAAGAAAATATTTTTGATCAAAGTGTTCAAGAACAAGTTTTACTGAAAAGTATTTTGCAAAGTTAAGCAATGTTCATATCTGTTGGTATTTGCTTCAAAGGAAGTATGTCTGTCCAGCTGCGCTAACTACAGTGTTTACTTCATAGCAAACAACTAAGATTTAGATCTTTCGAAATTGAAACTGAATAAAGGTCAAGTTGGTTTAAGCGATTAGACAATATAAAAGGAAGGGATAAGTATTAGAGAACAGCACTACGGTATACTATTTAGTTTCCTGTATATGATTCTAATCAAATAAGCCAATATTGTTATAAAAAATGACGTATTTGAATGATTACATATCAGGTATTGGTTTTACTTATTCATTGCTTAGATCATTTCATTTATTGACCGAGCTAAACATGTATATCCATGTACTCTGGGTTGTCCGTGTTTAAGAAGATAAGACAACATTTGTCCCGGTCTTGTGGTAGTCTTTTGAAGTATTTTTTTTTTTTAAAGAACTCTATAAGAACGCACTATTGACCTTTATAGATAGGGGTTTAGCATTATTTGTTGGTGACTTCCATTATGGTGATTAAATAGTACACAACTATCGGTCAACTGATAATATATTATAGTGTCAGTATTCGGTAGTAAACTCTTTCTATTGCTACATGTATATAGAAGATAGTTGATAGATTCCCTATGGATACCAAATATATTTCATGGCAAACTATCGATATTTTCCAAGTGTTTGACACCCTATTCTTAACGTTCACCTCGTCCAAAAGATCTATGAGAGCTATTTCTGTACCGCGACATCCGTCCGTCCGTTGTCTGTCTGTTAACAATATCTTAAAACGACCTAACTCCTGATTTTAAAATTAACAAATTTGACACGAGGTGTCCCTAGGTGGGGACATCTAAATTGCCTTGCAGTTCATTAAATTTGTTTCAAGACCAACTCAATTCATTACCCCATGAAATCGACCAAAGCAAGAGTCAATCTTTTAATACAATAATGCAACACAATCAATTCATGTTGTTAAATTTGTACATACAGACATGGCAGTTTGTTTAGATATATTTTAAAATATGCATGGTAGATAAGAAGGGTTTACATTTTTGAAAGTTTAGACGATTTATGAACATTTAATTATTTAATATTTGTTAATGGACAAACATCAATTAACGAAGGAGCTATGCATCCAAGAGTTTTTAAAGGGAAGTCACAAACTGGTTAATTATGAGACTGTAAAATGATTGACTTTATTGAAAATACAAAAGATGTTATAAAAGTTGCGTTTTAAATTAAAAACCCCAGTGAACTGTATGATTTACTCGTTTGTGAGGCGTTTTGAATATTCTAATGAGTAAGTGACTGGATGTTTCATTAGATACTTTGTGTTTATTTTGATATATATCCGTGAATATGTAATGTCCAACATACTAGAGTAATTACGAAGACACCAACAAACAAAGATTTGTTTGATTTCTGCATCGATTATCTTTTATTAAAATTGAACCGTTTGCATTTGAGTGTTGTTTAATTTTATCGTCATATATACTTTGATACTTCTGTCCTGTTTGAGGGTGCTTTTTAAAAACACCTCCTTCTCCTGTTTGTGTGGTTTTTACTTAGATTTATTAAACTTTAATTTGCTATCAGTTTTTTAATGTTCAGAAAGTTTATTTCTCTCTGTTCATTGATTCATTGATCCGTTCGGGCTAAAAGTCATTTTTAAGACGTAAGATTAAGAATGCGATCTAATGTGTGATGTTGGTTGAAATCCCCCTCTCACACGTAGTCGCATTTGATTAAAACTACATTGTACAGCTTTTGTGAGTTTCATGTGTTTAAGATGACACTATATCGTTACTTCAAAATGACTTATTGTACCTCACCTTAAGTAAAAAGCTTAAAAACAATCCAAAAACAGAAGCGATACATATTTCAAATCAGCTTACAGTATTTCTGTTAGTTTATTCTTTTAAGCTCAGAAATCTTGTGTATTGATCGAACAAAGTTTGGTATCAAAATGTAACGTATCTATTGCTAATATCCACGGTTTATATAATGTAAACTCAGCAAAAAAGAAGATAAACGCCACTGAATTATAGCGGTCGTTACGGTGACATCGTGTTAAAATTGGCCCTGTATAAGGGCGCCGTGCTATCAATCGAGCTACTTTCATATGGTTTGCTGATAGTTTGGATGGATACACGACGACCAAGAAATGTACTCGCGGCCTCGCCCCCTTCGGGAACAATGCACTTACTCAGATGCAACAGCTGTATCCGACGATTCAACAAAATATTTATTATCTATCACTGCCACCAAATTGCATTGAAATTTCGATAAAGCAAACAAAGTTATTTTGAAGTGAGCGTTTTAACAATGAAGTCAATTTTATGTACTTTGATACCTTGTTTAGCAGAAGAAACAAAAAGAAGATTAAGAAATATGGAGAGGCAAGAAAGAAGTAGGAAGGAAGGGAAAGGTGTCTTTATCCTATTAGTTCAGGTGAATTTACAATTATTACAATATACTATTTTATGTAATGAACAATATGTTTGCTATGTGGAATGCAATGATCTATCCTGTTTTCCCCCGTTCATTATTAAAATGATTCGGATAAGTAACACTTTTACCTGTAGCAATAGATTTTTGAGTATTATATATTTCTTCAATTATTTTTTAAGAGCTGGAATTGATATGTGATTCTGCATACATTTAGCCTTATTTATATAAATATAAAGAATATATATATGTGGCTTTAACATTAAAATTACTAGGTTATCTACATTGTTTTTGTCCATTAAGGAAACCAAAGATAAAAGATTCTTTATTAAAATCAATCGGGGTAAATAGCTAATCTAAGAGAAATTCGAAATCGGCATTCCTAAAATACATGAACTATTTCTTCATTTTCAGTTTTACAATGAAAATAGTAAGGGTAATCAACAAGGCCTTTTTTTAACAGATATGAATAAGTAGTTAAGTTATGCTTATTTATTCTTTACTAAATCATTGCAAATTTTGTATTTTGAGTAACTATGAATGAAAATGGTATAGATTTGTCTCTCTTCATCAAAATTAAAAAAAAACATCATCCCATTTCTTTCTTCCAATGGGGATTAAATAAGTTATGCATATAATACTTTATAAAAATATGTTATTCCCTTTTTACAATAAATCTTTTTTACCCCCAAAAAATTCATACAAAATAGTTAATATAAGAATTTCATTCACACGTTTTGATAGTACAGTGTATGTGTCATTTTCATTTAAGTCTTAAAATGTTTGTTAGGTGTATTAATATCATGAACTGTGTAGTGTTTCATTCATATATATTGTATTTTGATAATATGCTGTTGATTTCTTTGATAAATGTATTAACAATGGAATTTTGAGGACCACTGTCAGGGACATATCTTCTATACTATTTCACTTGGAGTAACCAGATTTGGTGTACAAGAACATCTTGGGATGGTGGAGTACAGATTGCAAGCAAGAATTATGTCACTAAGGCCTCACTGTGACCTACCTATGCTTTGACCATTGTCCTTAACTTTTGAAAGAGTTGTCCGGGGCATATTTTCTATACTATTTCACCCGGAGGAACTAGTTTTTGTGTGCAATGACATCTAATGATGTCGGAGTGCAGAGTGCAAGAATAAGGTCACTGTGACCTATGACTTAACCTTTGACCCTTACTTGTGAAAATATTTTTTCTGGGGCATATCGTCTGTTCTATTTCACCTGGCATAACCAGATTTGGTGGTATATCCTGACATAAGTGTACTGTTTCTTTAATATAGAAATCATTACCGGTGGGGAACAACGGACTGTCCGGAATTACTTTGCCTTGTTATTTTTGCTGAATAAATTCTCTCTTCATATAAATTTATTATTAGTTTAAGTCGACGTAACTACAGCATATCCGGTTTGTTCGCGGCAGTGCTATTTTCCTGAATTTCGCGAAAGGATTTATTCGCAATTCAACATTACAATAGCAACGAAAATGTCCATCTCCAGATATTATTGTGAGATCTAAAACAGTCGTAGGGTATCAATCGGGATACTTGTCAAAATACAATTTTACAGAAAGTCGGGTAACAATAATAGCAATTTTAGGGAACATTATTATCACGTATTATCACTCGTCAGACATTATTTTATTCTGATGACCCGTTCAAACAGCTGATAGTGTAGATAGTAGATAGTCATGTCGCGAAATATTCACATGATGTGTATCGCAAATGTTATATGTCGCAGCAATAATAAGATAAAACAATACCTGTTTAAGTTGGAATGTTGTTTATAATGGATGACCGTTATCGATTTTAAGATAGTACAAATAGCATGAGTGAGCTGGATAAC